CTACTTTATATAAAAAAACTCATATAATAATATGTTATTATAAATTTATAATTATAAAGCTGATTTAGAACCAAAGAGGTTTCGATAACTTCCATTGAATAGGACTGTGAATTACAACGATAATTAGCAATTTTTGAGACGATAATTCAAAGAAACTGGATAGGATTAGAGGATGTGGGGTCATGGTGAAATCTTCAAGAAAGTGTAGTAGTCCCTTGCAATCTACGGCCAATGCGACGGATGTTTTCCGTTGGCGTGAAAGCAAGGGAAGACAGTAAAATCAGGCACTACTTAAGCAGCGACACCCCTTGTCTTGTCTTGCCTTCATTAGACTCAGTCAGCGCTCCCCTCACACCAACGTCAACAACTTCCTAACCAAAACTCTGAGGTAATTGTTTTACTCTCCCTTACTCTCCCATAATTTTGGAAATTAATGTTATTTGTTGATTCTGGGTAGATGTTCGTTTCTGTTGTAATGCATGATTCATTGTTTAATTCTGCCTATTTGATACCTGGGTTTGCTTCATTATTGACTGAGGTCAAACCCAGTTCTTGGTTTACTTGATCTTATCTGGATTTTGATTTTTAGTTGAATTCTTCTCTATTTCTTCTAGTTATGTTGTTCTGTATCTGTTCTCTGTTTTTTATTGCTCCGGGTTGCTTTTGATAATGGATTTCTGCAATTTTGACCCCTTTTTATTCTTCTCTTTTTGGGTTTTGATTGTTCTGATCCTATCCACATGGTGATGATTGCAGCGGCCTTTGTGGTTTTCTATATTTAGGCATATGATATGAGATTATGGTCTTCTATTTCTTCTTACATGTCAAGTGATACTGATGAGAACGCAACTGCAACTGAATATGTTGCTGCTTATGTTATCTGGGTTTGCTTTAAAGATTGAATTTAGCTGTTTTTTGTTTCTCTCTGTGTTTGTTTTCTTTTGTATTCTATTGATCATAGTGTACTCTTTGGCTGTAAATCAATGTCGATATTGTATTGCTGTAACAAGAGAAAAGCTTATTAATCATGAATTTTTCAGTTTTGATATTAACTTTTGTTGTTGTACTATATGTTTATCTTGTTCAAGCTTGGAAGATGATGTCAGTTGCACATGGGATGTCTATATTTAGCTATAGAAACTGATTGCTTTTCAGCAGGCCATATGCTTTCATGCCTTTTGTTTTCCTTTTTCTGATAATTGTTAAGAATGTAACTGAATCAGCCTTTTTGTCCCATACGGATCATAGTCTTTCTATGCTATTTTTTTTTTCTTTTTTTTAGGTTAATTGATTATCATACAAGATACGACTATGCTAGTTCACCTATATATATGCTTTGCTAGGCTGTGCTGAATTGGATGCGGTGAGCAATGGGTTATAACAAGGTTCCTTGCATTGCGTTTTTCCTCTGGCAATTCATCAGTTTTTCTCTCCCCTATCATTCTTTTGCCATTGAAGTTGATGCAAATGCAACAGCCTTGCTGCTTCTAGATGCTTCTAAAGGATCATCCCGACCAATACCAGATACATTGTTCGGAATATTCTTTGAGGTTAGTTTTCTGTAACCAAAGTTTCTTCAAGTATGGATTTTTTTATGTTGCTTGTAAGATTTACTGAATCACACCGTTCAAAGTTCATGCATGGACCATTAATAAAAAGTGCATGTATCTAGGCAGAGGCACATTTTGATGTACAGAGTTCATTTTTGGATATGTAGATTCGGAGAGATCCTTCTTGATTGTAGTATATTTATTAGATCTTATGTTGATTTGTTAGACAGCGTAGACATCATTAATTTAAAAGTTTTACTTATTAAAATGATAGAACAGAAATTATGACTAAATGTTTTAATGATGTTTATTTGGATCTTTTCACCTCTAATAAAATTTTATCATGTATTAATAATTTTGCTTACTTTTGGAGTGTGATAACCATTTTTAATTGTTGAGAAAGCATGTTATCACCAATTTTGTTCCTTCAGGAGATCAACCATGCTGGTGCTGGTGGACTGTGGGCAGAGCTTGTAAGCAACAGAGGTAGATCCAAATTTCCCTCAACCAAGGAAAAAAAAAAAAAAAAAAAAAAAAAAAAAAAGATTTACTTAATGTGTACTTGTTTTTTAAAACTATATACTCTTGCAATTTCTATCCTAATATGCTGGTTGTGCTGGCATTGTTAAATATATCAATTATAATTTTGAGCTTGTTTGGCTTAGCTTATCTTTATGTGCTAAATTAATTATTTGGCACATAATTGCTATTTAGCACCCTGTGCTTATTTTACAAAATAAGGAATTACCTGGATAAAATGTGCTAATTAGCAGGTACTTGTTTAGAGAAAAAATATGTAGTGCTATGTAGGTTTGCCTATGATTGGAATTCACATAATCTTTTTGGTTTTGAGAAATGAGTTAAGAAAATTCATTAAGAACCAACGAAAAAAGTTCAAACCTCAAGTATCTCAAAAATGGTATGTTCAACTACAGATAATCTTAGGTGCCTCATTGCAGATTGCAACACTTCATGCTGACATCTTCAGAATCTCTCCTATTAACAAGTTTCCTTGTTTTATTTTATGAGCAATCAAAGAACGTGTTGTTCATTTCTAAGCAACTAGATTCCATATACGGTTGTTGTGAAGGCAGTGCTGACCATGACTTCTCTTGATACTATTCTGAGATGCTGTAAAAGCCACTCATCTGCCTGTTTTGATGCAGTAACAGTTATATGGAATCTGTTCCAAGCCCTATTTTAATACTTAATTTCATCTGCAGTTTTAGGAAGCAATTTTGGTTTGTTGAATAAATAAGCTTTTGCATAACTGTTTTCTTTGGCTTTCAGGTTTTGAAGCTGGTGGCCCTAATGTTCCCTCAAACATAGATCCTTGGTCCATAATTGGCAATGAGACCTTCTTAATTGTGGCCACAGACCGCTCGTCATTGTTTGATCGAAATAAGATTGCTCTTCAAATGGAAGTGCTCTGTGACACCCAAGGCTCTAATATCTGTCCATCTGGAGGGGTTGGTATCTATAATCCAGGATTCTGGGGCATGGTGAGAACTTAAACCTCAATTCTTAAAGTAACTGTTCTATATATACCACATCTCTCATCTCTCTCTGATCTTTAGGCAAAGAACTGGAAGGAGTAACATGTGAATGGAATTACATGCTTCTGCCAAATACTAAAACGTTAAGACTCTTTTTGCAGTTTCCCAGTTCCAATAGTCTGATATGGATGGAATCCATCTATGTTTGTTTTGTTTCAGAATATTGAACAAGGGAAGAGCTACAAAGTTGTATTTTATGTACGCTCAACAGATGCTGTTAATATCTCTGTGTCGTTAACGAGCTCAGATGGGTTACAGTCACTGGCTTCTGCTAATGTGATGTAAGTAATGTTTAAGTATTTTATATCATCTAGGAAATATTCTGCAATATAAAGGTTTCTTCAAACAAAGATTTGCTCAGATGCTTTGGACTTCATTTCTTCACCCTTGCAGAGCTTCTGCTTCTGATGTTTCAAATTGGACTAAGAAGGAGCTTCTGTTGACAGCAGAAGGAACAAATCACACTTCAAGACTGCAACTAACAACGGCTAAAAAGGGAGTAATATGGTTTGATCAAGTTTCAGCCATGCCTGTGGACACATATAAGGTTTGTGTTCCTAATTGCAACATGAATATGTCTGTTTCTATTTAGTTCAGTCAATTGGTTATCTCTGCATGCCTATGTTTTATTTCCATGTACTTTTTGCGGGATGGTATGATTGAGTTGCTATAATAGATGATTAATAGTGGTAGGATAATTAAGGAGTTTGCTATAGAGTTTGTAATGGAATTAGAAATGCAGAAGGAATATGGTTATGTGTATTAAGGGTAAAAGTTTCTGTAGAACCAATATAATTATAAGCTTCATGGAAGTTAAATATAAAAACACTTCAGAACAGATGCATGCTTTTTTTTTCTTGATTGGCCAGAACAGATGCATACTAAACTTGAAACTTGAACTTTAGTTTGAATGCAATATATTTGCAATAAGTTTGTCCATAAACTATTGTTGTTAAGCTCTAGCATACTTGTTCCACAGCTGTCTTAATCTTTCCTTTAACCTTAACATGGTGCAGCGACATGGTTTTAGAAATGAACTCTTTCAAATGCTAGCAGATATAAAACCCCAATTTATCAGATTTCCAGGTATGCATGATATTATTTTTAGCTTCAGCACAACCATTGTATATTATATTCCAAAGTAAAAGAGATTATTTTATAGGTTTTTATCACATTGGAATATTTGCATGTCATCAAGTATGCTTTTATTTAAAAGAATTGCAATTATAACTTCCTGAATTTCATATTTTACAGTCAGTGTCTTTGTTAAAAGCTCCTTATAGTAGTTATTGGTCATTCTTTGTTATTCTTATTCCTGCTGGATTCTCTTATATTGCCCACCTTCCTATGTTGTACACTCATCAGTGCACAATCTAATAGGCCTAGTGCTTGCATCATTTTGAGAGTCTGGTTAATAAGTGAACTTTCTTAGGTTGAGGGCATTCATTTGTTTTTCCTTTTCAGAACGTGTGCTCTTGTTTCAATCTCAACCATAAAATAGAAGCAACTCAGGGTTAAGAATCAGAAAATCTGGAAATTTAATATTCAAAGTTAGTTCATATAATTTTGTATATGAATTTAGTTTCAAGAAACACAGTTGAGACATTTTAGACTCTTTATACAGTCTGGTACCAAGCATTAAACTAGCATGCAATGAAATAGAATTGTGACTATGAAAACCTTAGAGATATAATTTCTCCAAACAATATTGAGCTTGCTGAAGTTCAACCTCTGACCTAATCTAATGTTTGGCTCTAATTGGTTACCAAATGAAATACAATTGGGTAAGCAGATGTGTTATGAGTCGGGCTACCTTTAGAAAACTTTTTGGTGGTAGTTAGCTTAAATCTCAAAATTCACCGAGTCATTCATTACGTTTGTTTCACACAATCCCTAACATTTTTTATTCTGGTCTTAAGCATCATAGTTTTGTTGAATCTTGTACCGTATTAGCCTATCTAACAAATATATTTGCATGGTGTTAGGTGGATGCTTTGTTGAAGGTGAATGGTTAAGGAATGCATTCCGCTGGAAAGAAACAATTGGACCCTGGGAGGAGAGACCTGGGCATTTTGGTGATGTTTGGATGTACTGGACTGATGACGGACTTGGTTATTTTGAGTTTCTTCAAGTGGGTATCTAATCCTTTCTTGTGGATTTGGGTTTTTGGTGGAGTTCAACAAAACTAGAAGTATTTCATTATCTTACCTACTGGAATAACAAATCAAAATTTATTGTTTGTAGTTAGCAGAGGACCTGAATGCATTGCCAATATGGGTGTTTAATAATGGTAAAGAGCATGCATTTTTTTTTATTCTTCCATCTTTTCTAGAATTGTTATTTCAGAATCTGTGTCCCTTTAGTTTTGCTTATTCTTTCACTTTATCAAATTTTACAGGAATCAGTCACCAAGATCAAGTTGATACTACCAGTGTCTTACCTTTTGTGCAGGTATATCTGCAAGTGTCTTGCTTCCTTTTATCATAGTAGTTTCAAAATTTTAACATGGCTACATCTTAACCTATCTTTATTTGAGAAGATAGCAAATTTTAGCATTGTAATAGTACTACTTGTTAGTTTATACTTTATATCTCATTCTACATAAATGTTTTTCTTGAGTCCAGGAAGCCCTTGATGGCATTGAATTTGCCAGAGGCAATGCTAGTTCAAAATGGGGTTCTGTTCGAGCTGTAATGGGACATCCAAAACCATTCAATTTGAAATATGTTGCTGTCGGAAATGAAGATTGTGGAAAAAAGAATTACCGAGGTTTGCATGTGAATTGAATCAATATCTTCTATATGAATATGTGCTTTTGCATTTTCACTTGTATGTATCTGAGGGAGAGCCTTTCAACAAATGTAACTTTTCAGAGTCTTATGTTTATGTTCTATTTAATTGACAGGAAACTACCTCAAGTTCTATGATGCTATAAAACGCACCTATCCTGACATTCAAATTATATCAAACTGTGATGGATCTAATGGCCCGTTGGACCACCCAGCTGATTTTTATGATTTTCATGTAGAGTTTTACACTGTTTTTCTTCTTCTTTTTCTCCTTTTCTGTTTTATTTTTCTACTATAATTCAGATGGATTAGATGATTGTTCCGGCTGAATGATGATCATTTCTTACTCGCTGACTTCTTAAATAGGTTTATACATCTGCCAATGACTTGTTTTCTAAGGCTCATAAATTTGATCAAACATCACGAAATGGTCCAAAGGTATGCATATGTGCTTTTATGTGACCTTTGAATATAGTTATTATTATTATTATTATTATTATTACCATCTAACTGATACCCATAATTAAATATTTTTCAGGCTTTTGTTAGTGAATATGCTGTGACTGGAAATGATGCTGGCAAAGGAAGTCTCAAAGCAGCACTTGCTGAGGCTGCATTCCTTGTTGGGCTGGAAAAGAACAGGTTTGAACTTCTGTAGTTTTACTAAAACTTACATTTGGTCATGTCAATGTGAATGTTTGATCATTTTGAGAGCTAAAACTGCTGGAAATTGATAACGATAATAATATCACTAAGAAGATGAAGAAACTTTATAATGTGTAAGGTGCTTTAGCATCATTTTTCCTTGGTCTCGTTGGTTCAAGCTTACTAAAAGATTTATTTTCTTCACCACAGTGATGTTGTTCAGATGGCAAGCTATGCACCACTCTTTGTGAATACCAATGACAGAAGGTACTATATCTTTATTTAAAACTTAAAATTCACCATATAATCACATTGTGATATTGGAGAGCTTGCTGTTGTTAAGGTGGAACCCAGATGCAATTGTCTTCGACTCCTCACAAGTGTATGGAACGCCTAGCTATTGGGTGCAGCGTTTCTTTGTGGAGTCCAGTGGAGCAACTCTGCTTAATGCAACTCTTAAAACCAATTCGTCTGCACAACTAATTGCATCCGCAATCACTTGGCAATCAGGGGATGGGAAAACTTACATAAGAATAAAAGTGTGCAACTCACATGAAATATAAATAAGACCCTTTCTCTGAATTCTGAAATGTGTCTACTGATTTTAAAGCTTTGATTCTTATGGCATCTGTCTCACTTTCATCTAAATACTACTCGCAGGTAGTAAACTTTGGGAACAGTTCTGTGAATCTGAGCATTGATGTTGCTGGATTGGATCCAAACTCTGAGCAGTTGACTGGACCAACAAAGACTGAACTCACATCTACTAATCTAATGGATGAAAATTCCTTTACAGAACAAAAGAAGGTAAACCATTCATCTCCATTTCCACATTGCTATCCGTTTTAAAGCAAGTGTTGTTCTCTAGCTTTCTGAGATTCCTCCTCACACATCTACAGCCAATGAAGCTTTCATTCATCCCCATCCAGAGTTCATATCTTAACTGATTTGTGAATGCATGCAGGTGGCACCAGGGAATGGAACAACTCTCCCCGATGGGGAGATGGATGTTGTGCTTAAACCATATTCTTTGACATCACTTGATTTTTTGAAGAAAACAGTCAGTCTAAGGATGTGGGAAGCTGATGCTTCATCTAAATCTTCTATTTGAAACATATAAATCAGTGTAAACAGTATGCAATAAATAAATAACTCTTTATGAGTTTATCTTGTTAGTATGTGCTCTGTACATATCAGTCAATGTAACAGTTAAAACTTAATCAATTTTCTAAATAAAAAAAATATTATATTAAATATCAATTTGTTTCCTCAATTCTAAAATTTTATACAGTTTTGTCCTTTATCCTTTTTATTCACTTTTTAAATTCTCAACTATGAAAAATGTAAATTTTCAATTCTTCCGTTTGTCCTAAGGTCTTGTTGGAAGTTCAAGATTCTTGGTTTGTGCTTTGTACATATCAATCTGTTCAAGATTTCTTTTTTTATCAATAAATTGAACTTTTATATTTATATCATAATTGATAAATTAAATATAAAAAAATATTAATAACCTAATTTGATGTAAATTGTATAATTATAAATATTAATTGATAATATTATAGTTATAATATTATATAAAATTATAAACTTATAATCATGATATAATATTAAATAAATAAATAAATAAAATATTATAAATAAATGTTTAAATAAAAACATTAAATAAAAAAATACATGAATAATAATATTATAATAAGGTTTGGCACGACGACGTTTAATATTACTTTTCCGGTTCGTGCCCTACCGGCCATTTCCATTTTTACAGAGTCCGATCTCAAGTTGTCCACTGCAAACATTTGACCTAAAAACCATTATTTCCATTGCACCAGAAAAACACAACCGCACAGGAACACAACAAGCTTCCCTGCAATGGCGATGAAGGATTTCACCATCTTCTTTGTCGCTCTCCTCTTCCTCGCTTCTCCTTTCCTCCAAGGTTCGATTTCCCTTTTCCAGATCTAGATCCATACAATTCTATCACTCTTTATTTATTTATTTATTTATTTATTGATATCTGATTTAGAATTTGATGCATTTACGGCGAGTTTCGCCTAATTTGTCTGTGTTTGAATCCATGGTTACATGAACACGGCAGTGAATTTTCGATTGATTATGATTTGTTTTTCTATTTTTTCATTAAAATAAACATCTTTTCGATATATTCTGGTTGTGATTTTATTTTTAAAAGCGAAATTTAATCGATTCAATCGCGAATATTGTTCTTGCTTTGCGTGATTTGGTTATTTGTGCTTTTGAACTGGTGCAGCTTGTTTCATATTTTGTATCTTTTATGATGCATTTTCCGTTTTATAGTTGCTAGGTGTCAGTCGGAGTCCGAGACAGAAGTTGTAGAAGGAGGCGATATTGGCCTTGTTGGTGAGGATGTTGTGGATTTTGGTGATGGGAGTTTCTCTCCAGCTGCAGGAGTTGATACAGTTTGCGTTTTCCCCAAAAATAGTGCAAAATGTAAGAATTTATCTGCTTTTCCCATGGCTGATGGTTTTCTTTTCCTTTTTGGTCTCATTTTGAACCTTTCTTTGGGCAGTGGTTACTGCTGGCGAAGAAACTGAGCTTCTGGTTGGGATGAAAAATGATGGTAATTTATTGGACTTCACCTTTTGTTGGCTTGTTTTGGCATCGAATGTGGCGTTATTCTCTGCCTGTGTTTGATTTATAGTGTTTTTCATCTCCCATACTTGTTTAACTAATTTTCATTAGTGTATTTTTTTTTCTCTTATGCATTCTTAGCTTATTTTTGCATTTGTATGAAATGAAAAAACTGCAGGTGAGTTGACTGTGAATGTCATTGCAATTAAAGCTAGTGTTCATCTTCCTATTGATCATAAACTACTAGTTCAAAATCTCACAGCACAGGTAACTATTGCTTGAGTCAATGCTTAGCTATGCAACATAAACTATTCATAGCTACTCCACTCACTTGTTAGATTTATTTTTCCCTCTGTTTTTGTCTTTTCTGAACTCTAATTATCCTGGCTTTTGGTTTAGATAGTAAAACTAGTATTTCATTGAATTGTTTCGTTTAGATCATTTCCATGGATTTCTTGCTTTATTGATTATTTTGTCTGAGTGCTTTAGGTGACAGCTGAAGAATCTATCGATTGAATGTTGCTTTCTTAGTATGAATAGTTGCTCTTTGAAATCTTTTAAACATCCACCATTCTCATCATACAATATGGCCTAAAAAATCTAACTATTCTAAATTATTATTTTTGACATTTGAATCTTAAGTGTAGAAATGTTCTTATAGTCCTAGCTTAAAACTGTTATGTGATTATATATTAATTGGGTATAAACAGAATCAGTAATTTAAAATGTCTCTCATTTAGGTTGAAGGTTGAAGATTGAAATTCTGAATATATAATCTCAAAGTGCTTCATGTTGACTATAGATGGAAAACTAAGCTTGTTAACACCATATATACGCTTTCACTATAACAAGCATTGTTCACAGTGGGAATTATTGTTGTCTGCTTTTGGCTTTTGACTTGATTTAATATTCAAAACTGAGCTTTTTCATTCTCTTCTGTGAAATGCTTTATCAGTTTGTGTTAAAGAGATCTTAAAAACATTTTTTATTACAATAATACTGGTCAAGTATCTCTTATCTTTGAAGTCTTCCAGCCTTCCTTGAGTAAATTTGCCTGGTAGCTTCTTTTGCTGATACATTTCTGTTTATTATTTGAATGCTTTTTTATGTCTATTTTTCTTATATATTTTTTCTTTCCAATTTATAGGTCTTCAACAATGCATCTGTGCCTGCTTCAGCTCAAGCTACTTTCCCATACGTATTTGCTGTGAGCAAGTATTTACAGGTCTGATTATTTTTGAATTTGTTTATTGCTCAGGATTTTAAAAGTGTGTTTCCTGTGATTAATCTGATTCATTTGAATCTTAAATGAAGCCTGGAACTTTTGATCTTGTGGGCACCATAGTTTATGAGATTGACCAGAACCCATTCCAGAGTACCTTCTATAATGGTACCATTGAAGTTGTGGAGTCCGGTGGTTTCCTTAGTATTGAGTCTGTTTTTCTTGTTACCCTTGGGCTTGCACTTCTCTTTCTACTGGGATTGTGGCTTCATGGTCAACTTCAGCGCATTTCGAAGGTATTTACTTCCTACCACCATTTGGTCCTTGTTTCAATAATGCCCTTAGTTTTTACAGGGAAGTGAATAAAAATAAGACACTTCAGTATATATTTTTCATTGAAGTTTTTATTAAGTAATCCAATTGTATATTGCATTATCCTGTTTGAAAATTTTGTTAGAAAAAACACTCACATCCAGATGCATTTGGGGGAATATTCAGTCATTCATTGCTCTTATGATGGATGTAATAAACCGACTTGATAGATGTTACCACTTACTACTAGCTATAGCAAAAGTGTTAAGTTGCACTGTTACTTTGTTGTGGCATATGGACTCAGATATAATTAGGGATGAGAATGGAGGGTTGATGATTGTGAATTCTTAGGGAATCAATCTAACATGATTGCACTTTTTTGTTAATTGTTAGAAAAACAAGAAGGCTCCAAAGGTAGAAGTGGGAACTCGATCTACTGATGCTTCAATGGACGAATGGCTTCAGGTGTGTTGTGCACCACCCCTTTCATGTTAATTCATTTGCTTTCGGTTTTCAGTCCTCACCATTACTCAACCTCTTACCTATTATTTCTCTGGCTGTAGTATTGATCTTCCATCTGAATTTATGATGAGATGTGGATTTGTTTCAATCTTTTATGGTTGGTCATCAGAAGGAAATTGCTGACATTTTCTTGTTTTTACTTATTGATATATTCAGGGAACTGCATACGCTCAGTCACTGTCCAAAAAAGCAAAGAAGAAGTAGATGAGCATTCTTCCTCAATTTGGCTGCATCCGGCAACCATTAGGGAAGTGCCACCTTACTGTAACTCACGCCTAGAAGTTTCGAAATGAATGAGCTTATAGGTAGTTTTTAAAATTAGGTCCTGGAAAAAGACATGTGAAAGAGTTTTTTACATCCTCTTGAGATGCTGAATCTTAGAGCCTTTTTAAACCAAATCTAACTTAGTGATTTGAGATAGAAATGTACAATTTTGTTGAAACTATTCTTTTTCAAGATATGTTATTTATCTGTTCCAAATTTGTTATTTTGCAATTAAGCTCGTTTGCTGCCCATATATGTTGGTAAGTTTCTATCTGTGTACACAATGCTAATATAAGAATAGTAGAGGTTAATAGCTTCGAAAATGATATAATTACCATAGAAAAGTAAATTGTAATCTGTCATATGCTAACTGAACATTTTAATATGAGCAGGTCTTTTGATATTAGGGGTGGTCTCCCATTAATGATTATAAAATATTAAATTCACCTTCACAACAGCAATCTTTAGTTACAAGAACTCAATGAAGGTGTTTATTTGCTCAAACCTAAAATACTAAGAGGAAAAATATCAAAAGCTATCTTATTGTTTTATTAAATTCTCATTAAAAAAAAATAAAATAATTAAGTATTTTTAAAATATGAATGGTATTGATTTGATCTTTTTATGATGGTTTATTGAAACAATAAAATTTTTAAATTATTTTTTGATTAATCTTTTAGAGGTTCAAGCTAAATTCTAATCTCATATAATTATTAAAATATAAAATTTTAAGTAAATTAATTTAATTGTAATTAAACTAATATTTCTTGTAATGTGTTGTGCATTCAACTTTGAAAATTTTTATGCTTAAATTACAAAAGTTAGTAGAACCAAGCTTTCGGTTCAATAATTTATTTTCAAATTTTAAATGTTTGAATGTAGATGATCAAGAATTCGATTTTCATAAACACCTTGAAAACAAATATTCTCTCATGTTCAAAAAAAAAAAAAAGTACAAAATTAGATGGGCAATTTTGATATTAACGTAAAATTTGAAGGCCTTCTGTGGTACTCCACAAACCCCAGAACCAGAGTAAACAAAGGAAAGGAGGGAAACCGATAACGACTTGACTCCAGCAAAAAAAGGGATAAAAAGCAAACAATTTCCCCCTCTTGCTTAAGCTTGAATTCAATGAATTCCTCTCCCTCAGAATCCTGTTTTAAAAATGAAGCCGAAACACAAAATACAGATTCTCAGGAAAGGAACTTCATAGCAACCTCCTTCCGCTGGAGATGAAGTTGAAGGTAGCCACACACACACTTGTTGGAATAATAGTCCAATATCTTGTTCTCGGCCTAAGTCCCGAAATTGCATCAAGTACAGATCGAATAGCCTTGGAAAAGAGGACCACACATTTTCTGACACGGGGACTAATAGAAGATTTAACGTGTCATAGATACCATGATATGAGCTATAAATACCCAAAAATTGTACACTTAAAAGTAATTACTCCTTGTTAAGTTTGCTCTCTATATTCTCTATATTCTCTAATTAAAAGTATCTTTCTAAAATTTATAAAATATCACTAATTTGAGCGCAGAATGTTTTTAAGGAGAAAGCATTCTCGGACTCTGCAACTTATCAAGGTCTGCAACTGTACAAACTCCAACCACGACTTGACCCGGACAATTTCTGCTTCAACAACACCCTGTCTCAATATCCATGAATTTCCATTCTTTCCTTCGGTTTTCTAATGTGGCAATCCGGGAAATGTCTAAACTTCAAACTTTGGTTGAAATTTGATTATTTTCTTATTTCAGTTCGTTTCAGTGGACACACCGAAGGTGGAAACTTTTGAATTCAAGCCGCCACAAGAGAATTCCTTTCACATTCAAATTAGGGCAGTGTAAGTGTGGTTATCGAAGGATAAGTGTTTTGTTTCATATTATTGATCAGGTGAGGTTATCAAAGGATGGGATAAATGTTGAAGAAACTGGTTCCCCGCCACTTACTCTTATATTTGACATTGAGTTGCTATCATGGATACAATGCAAGCGTGGGTAGTCTTCATTTATTTTCTTTTTAATTACTAAATTAAATCAATTAACTCACACAATTAATTTCAACTAAACTTTAATCATAATAACTCATTAGGATACAAATTAATAGTATAATAAATATATATTTTTATAATTAATTTATATAAAAAAGTAACAGAAGTTGACTTGAATTTAATTAATTGATTAATTAAAATTATTTACATAGTAATAACATTAAAATAAAAATTAATTTTTATCATTTTTTATATAAATTAATTGTAAAGATGTACATCTATTACACCTTTAACTTGTATATTTAATACAAGTTAGACAATCAAACAAGATAAGAATGTAGTTATTGCACTTTTTTATCACTAATTATGCATTAATTTATATAAAAAAATAAAAAAATTAACATTAATTTTAACACATTTATAACACACGGATATTTTTTTATTGAACAATTAATAAAATTAATATCAATTTTTAATTTTATTACGTGTATTAATGATAAAAAAAATATAATAAATACACTCTTATCCTGTACCTTAAAAAAATCCAATCAAAAATAAATTTTCATTTAAATCACAATTTTCTCAGCATCAAAACACTGATTGAAAGTGTTAAATCCCTTTCATATTCAAACCTAATTGGAAAGGCAAAAAACAACCAAACACAAACCCAATAAACAGTAATCCTACCTTGCCCATCGGCCATAGCTGCTGCTCCTCATGCCCTACATCAACAAGACACACCGGACCTTCATGTTGGCATGTCACCACTCTGCCTCAACACAACCCCCGCATAGACACTTATACAGGCCCCCTACCTCGACAATTTGTTTCCCTAAACAGAAAATAAATAAATAAAATTACAGTTCATTACCAAACAATATAAAGTTACAACTATAATGTGTTTCTCTTAACAAAAAAAAAAAATAAATAAAATAATGATGATATCTATTATATAATGGACCAAAAGATATGATCAGAGGAAATCTATATACCTTAATTTATTTCTGAAGGACCCTGAGAGTGAGAGATAGCTTTTGCAGATGGACGGTAGCGTAGATTATTCGGTGAACTTCGGGAGCGCCGATAATCATTGAGGGTTTCTTTCCCAGGTGGAGGGCCTTTTGGACAGGTCAAGGATTTTAAGCACTTGCTATTAGTGGAGGGTCTATTACTGCTCAAGTTTGAGACTAATGATTTTTGTTCTGAACCTGCGAAGATGGATTGATCGGATGAGAGGTGAGCTGAGGATTGTGGTGATGACTGGAGGGAGTTTCCTGAACTTGCAAAGTGGGATTCATCAGTCGAGAAGTAAGCTGAAGATTGTGGTGATGAGTGCAGAGAGTGTTCTGAGCTTGCGAAGATGGATTCATCAGCTGAGAAGTGAGCAGACCATGGCGAGGATGAGTGCAGGGAGAAAGATTGAGGTTCCGAAGTTAGTCCACCTTCTTCCATCTTCTTAGTAAGAGAGTCATGATCCTCTGTCTCTTTTTTCCAATAACAGGTGTAGGATAGATATATGAATATAACACAGGCCCATAAGCTGATAAATGCCAGTGCTCGATAGTATTTGTCAAGATGACTTTTGTTGATGGTGTCACCAATCCAATTTCGAAAAACGAGAATGCATGCCACAGCCAACAATCTCCCCATTCCCTCCACAAAGCTATTGAATGTAAATTCTAAATGATGCATGGATTCATCTGCATGATCACAGAAGAACTTTCCCAGCATTTCTCCAACCATTTTGTTCATAGTCCCTAACAAGATAAACTGCAAAAACATCGCAAAATGTAGAATGATTTTGGGATCCTGATTGTTTTTGATTGATTGCAATCTGCTAGCCTCAACATGCCAACTTAAAAGGCAGATCAAAAAACAAGTGAACATCCCGCAAGTAATTATTGTGACTGTAATAACCCATTTGGGCTGGTTTCTCTTACTCGAAAACTTTGCGATGCCAGAATTTATCAAATCCAAACCCATGAAGCCAACAATCTTCTGTAACATATACAAAGAAGCTTCCCCATGGCCCAACACCTTTCCTTGTTCCATGAAGAAGGTGCTACCTCCTGCATCAACCACATAATAGATAAGAAAAGGTGTCCACAGAGGGAGCAATTTAGGGAACAATTTTAGAAGCGCCCTTATCTCATAGTTCCATTCATGCTTATACTCTTGATGATGTCCCAAATTAAAGATACCTTGTAACATATGCTGTAAGAACAGAAAAATATGCAACCAATTGCCCCAACAATTGCTGAAATCATGGCTATTTGCTTTGAAGAAAATTTAGATGTCAACACAAGGCCTGTAATGGCTCCCACAATCCATCCAATATACCACCAAGCATCTATTGGAGTAATATTTGGTTTTCTCTTATCGTCCATGACCTGTTCCAATTCACCAACTGCTGCTCATCTACAATAGTATCTCAAAAACTTGATGCACTAAAATCACCCTAGTAAGTGTACTAGTCGCTCCAAGTAATATAATGATGAATAGAGTGTCGAACCCACAAGGATTGTGTCTAATTAAGTACCAAAATAATTAATCTAAATTTATTTGAACTATCGAAAAGATGGAATTTTAATTAAAATAACAAAAAGAAAC